GCCAATACGTTGGACACATTGAACCGCTGGAGCAAAAAAAATGACCTACAGGACAAAAGCTGTGTGCTATTCATGTTCGCTGATCATACCTCCCCCCCGCCTCGTAACGAACAAAGTTCTCGGTCCCATTTTTCCTCGGTTTTTGCCATCCACCATTTTGCCGTGGTATTCTTCTCTGCCGACACCCCCGCTCTCTCCAATCACCGCGCGGGCAGCTATGGAACGAGCCAATCAGCGTGTGGGCAGCTATAGACCGAGCCAAAACGCGACATTTAATTACCTCGTTATCCCACCCTCACGTCACCGACCAATCATAGCGCACCATTTCTCCAGACAGACCCGTCTAGGCCACGCCCACTTGTCTGGAGGTGGAATAGAGGGGGTTTGTTTTGACCGGCCAAAGCTTCCCATATTCTACTACTGGACATAATTCGAAGCGTGTGAATGGCGCAGGGGGTGATCCCGATTGATCACGGCTTGATTGGACATCACCAATCACAGCGACCAGGTGCCTAGCTTTGTAGTCTCAAGCGCTGTGAGTGGCTCGTGTCCAATTGAACCGTGTCCAACTGGGCGCCACCCATGGCGCAGGGGTTAGGCTGGAGTTCCATGATGCATATTGCGTAACCAATCAGAAGCGATTCGCTGTTGTGGTTTCGCATTTTATTGGCCTGGTTTATATCAAGCACTTGATATTAATAGTATTAATGGTACGTATCCACTGAGCGCGTCACAGGCTATCGCGAAGAAAGGGGTCACCGCTGTTCGAATAAGTGAATCCGCGTTGCAATAACGTGCCGCCGTGTGAACAGCTCGAAGTAAACGTAATCAGGTGCGAGACATGCAAACGTTCGTTCTTCGGGAACGCATGTTTGGATCATCATCGCGCGATAAAATCGTACTATGGAAAAACGCCTCGAAGTATTTGTAGTGTGATACAATTTTGCGAAAGCTGTGGACGTGTTAAGCCTTGTGCCCACGATGCTAGAAGTCGGTCCGAGATCTCGGATGAAGACAGCATTGACCAATCGTCATGTGATCAAATTGTTCAAATGTAATTTGTTAATTTTTTCTCTGTCGAGATTTCGGACCGATTTCTAACATCGTGGATATCGGGCTTTATAAATATAACAAAAGAACACGAATGCGGCGTTTCTTTTTGTAAAGTTTGTAGTTCTCCGAAATCGCAGAATCATTTGTGTTTTATGCAACCTCTTTCTCGCGAAGGTAGATCCTCTGATGACGAGTCAGTCGGAGATTCTCCCGCAATCGTGAGAGAGAATGAATGTGATAACACAAATGTGTGCGATCAAGAACGTCAAAAGGGACGAACAGCCTTCGTGTTCTACGATTTCGAAACGCGACAAGACGAATCGATAAATGGCACTGAAATAAAGATCCACATGCCAACTCTCTGCATCGCGCAACAAATTTGCGATTCGTGCGCGGAAGTTCACGATCTATCGCAACACTACCGCTGGTGCGGCGCTCATGAATTTGTTTTTCGTCGCGATCTCGTAGGGAAATTTGTCGAATATTTGTAACACGACCCACAACAAATTTCACTCGTATTATTTGTACAGCGCACAACGCGATAGCTTTCGACGTGCAGTTCATTCTCCGTTTCATAGTCGAAAATCACTCTAGATTAGAACCTAAAGTGATTTTAAACGGTACAAAAATGATCGTTTTGACAGTAGGACGTACAAAATTTATCGATAGTGTTAATTACATGCCGATGCGTTTGTCGGAATTGCCGAAGGCCTTTGGGTTGCCGGATACTTGCGACAAAGGCATCTTTCCGCATCTTTTTAATACTCGCGAAAATCAAACGTACGTAGGACCTCTACCGGGCGTTGACTATTATGCACCCGAAACGATGCAACCCAAGGAACGCGAACGTTTCCTTGTGTGGGATGCAGAAATGACGAAAAAAAACACCGTATTCGATTTCCAGCGTGAAATAGTTATTCATTGTCAGCTAAGTATACTACAGACATAGATATTCTTCGGCGAGCATGCCTGTCGTTTAGAAAAATATTTTTAGAACATGGAAACGTGTGCCCATTCGTGGAATGCACGACTATCGCCTCGACGTGTATGAGAGTTTTTCGGAAAAACTTTCTGCGCAAAGAAGAAGAAATAGGCATCATTCCGACGGGTGGTTATAGAATGAATGACAATCAGTCGCGCAAATTAAGCCGTACAATGATTGATTTTGAAGGAGCGTGAGATCGGTCGTATAATTCACGCGGGACATGGTCGTGAATATAGATACAGAAGGGATGCTCGTCGACGGATATTATGAGTGTGAGAACGTTGGTGAGACGCAATGTCACATATTGCAGTTCCACGGTTGCTTCTTTCACGGATGCCCGATTTGCTATCGAATTTATCGCGATGAGAAAATCGGACAGAATTCGAAAGATACACTTGACGCGCGTTATGAACGAACGATTGCAACGATCTGGCGGTTACGGTTACGGTGTGGATATATCGTGACGGAAAAATGGGAATATGTGCTTTTGACGAGGAAATGCGCGCGGATCGAAAGGTGAATTTGTCGAGAAACACCCAATGATACAAAAATCGCATACACCTCTCGATCCTCATGATGCGTTTTTCGGTGGGCGTACGGTGGGCAATATCGCGACACGATACGCGGTTGCGGGTAACGAGAAGATACGTTACGTAGACGTATGTTCTTTGTACTCTTATATTCTCAAGACTAGTGTTTTTCCAATTAAGCATCCTGACATCTGCGTAGGAGATGAATGTAGCGTGCTAATTGGAGAAGCACCAAATTTCAATTTTTTTCGGGTTACGGGACTCGTGCGTCGTCGTGTACTGTCCCCGCGCGACTTTTTCATCCTGTATTACCGTATCACATCCGTGGAAAATTATTATTCTCGCTTTGTCGCACACGCTGCGAAACATTTTCTCAATCTGCTTGCGCTCGCGACGAATCATCGGAACGTGAGTTTGAGAGCACGTGGATGTCGTGTGAATTGCGCAAAGCAGTTGAGAAAGGTTATCTCGTGACACGGGTAGATGAAATTTGGCAATACCAGTGTACGAAAGGGTTGTTTGCCGGATATATTAACATCTTCTTACAATTGAAGCAAAAAGCTAGAGGGTGGCCTAGCCAGTGCGAGGGCGATGAAATTACGAAAGAACGTTATCTTCCAAAGGTAACGTCTCGCTCGAACGTTGTGAAAAAAATCGGTTTACCAAATACAAAACGCCTCTGCGTCGCATCGTTGCAAAATGTGGTAATTGAAAGGATAAAAGAAAGTTGTTGGTGCAGCGAGGCGAATTTTTGCCTTATATTATCGGACCTATATTATCGACCTTATTATCACTAATTATCGAAGGAACGAAATAGTGGGATAAAACGCTATAGAGAGGGCCAAAAAAATGGTTTTAATTTCGACGGAAAATCTTGAGAGACATCAGTTACGTCAGAATCCAACATCATTCGCTGACGGAGAGTCAAAGAAAATCGCAATACCGCAAAATTTAGATAACACTGCGAGCACTAATAACACAGCACAAACTCCCGGAACTCATCTAACACGACTCGATGCGGAAATGGGTCGTATTTTTAATTCTGACTGGCCACGTGACGAAAGTGAGAGATGGAAAATGTACAGAGAGGCATTATGGCGATACCTACGATTTATCCAAGAAACGCGAAGGCAGAAATACGCACGCAGCGAAAACGAAAACGCAGAAAACAATGCTATACGAGATGTCTCCGCTGATAACGAGACGACGAACGATGACGTTTTTTACTCACGCAAACATCCGATATACCCAGGGCCGGAAACTTCTGGTCATTCTGGGTGTGGAATACATCAGCCAAGCAGTGTGGCGAAGGGGGGGGGGGGAAATTACCTTTCTAAAAATATTAATATATTTTATTATTATTATCTTAAAATTACAATATCACAAGTTTTTCTTTAATACTAATAATACTAATAAGTTATTAGTAATAACAATATACTCTGATATCACAAAGAAATACGTTTAGGTAAATGTACGAAAAAGGTAAAGCGCACGAGAGTTTGACGATGTAGTCAACTAGTCATCTTAATATTAGTTTTTGGTAACAAACAGACTCGATCTGACACTACTTTTGGAGATAAACTCATCTATGAGCGGCTCGATGTTTAAATTTGCTGCAATATTTTTGTGAATATGCAGTATTGCAACATTATTTAGTCGCTTTTGTCCCATCGAATTTCTAAGGTAGGATTTAAGTCGACGCAATGTCGAGAAAGAGCGCTCACAGGTGCAGGTAGAACTTGGTATCGTCAAAAGGAGCTTAATAAAGTTTGTATATTCATATAGCAGATCCTTAATGGATTTGTTTTCGTTTAAAACGAAGACTACGTCTTTCAGTGAATGTATTTGTATGTTTTAGCTCCTCGTTATGTCTAGGAACATATCGCGATGTCGCACTAGTTTTTCTTCATTGAAATCGCTTATTGAAGGAGTTGTAGAATTTTTAGGCTTTGAGTTATTAAAGAACTTAAATAGTTTAGTCCTATTCATATCAGTTTTTCCTGTTGCAAAATTTTCAAAGTCGTTTAAACAATCTTTGGTTTCTGAAGTAAATCGGGTTTTCAGTGATGACAAAATATAGTCATACACTTCAAAGAATATTTGTCTATAATATTCTTGGGCAGATTTATAAATGTAACCCGTACTATCGGTGGACTTTGGTTCAAGGTGCTTTGGAATCTTTTTTTGCCGTTGTAGCTTAGGTTCTTGTAGACCCAATTTCGAAGCATCCACAGTAGCTTTCTCCCAACAATCTTCAAATTTAGTGTCCCGACCGTTAGACAGAACATACAACGTCAACTTTTTCGTTGGAACTAATTATGCAGAGATTCGTATTTTGCAGCGATGCATTTAACGTTTCAATTTTTTCGAAAACTTCTATTATAAGTACTAAAAAGAAATAGAATTCGAATGATGATGCATGGTAAAAGAACCCTGCCACTTTTGCTGATGCTGAATGGTTAAGTTTAGGATCTTTCATCATATCCTCGCAGAACTTTACTACCGATTCGTAGTTCTCGTAAATCGTTTTCAGTGACTTAATCCTCATGCACCACCTACGAAGTAAGTAACAGATTGAGTGACTAGTGATAATGTATCGTCTAACAAGAATTGTACATCTCAAGAAATCTTAATAATAATTTTTAGTACATACCTCGTAGGGCAAAACGGTGACAGATCGGGACTGTTATCTGATTGCAAATTTTTAAACGTTGAGAGCCTTCTTGGTGAGTCTCGAATGAAGTTGATCAACTCTCTAACAATCCCTACAAAATTTTTGATAGGTAATACATTTTCAATGCCGTCTTGGACGACTAGACTTAAGTTGTGTGCATTGCAGTGCACAAAAAGTGCTCGAGGTTCTAATTCTCTGATTCGAGTCTGTAGTCCAGTTAATTGACCACTCATATTAGTTGCCCCATCATAGCACTGTCCTCGTAATTTTTCGAAATCTAAATCGTACCGCGCGAATACGTCTTGAACGATTTTAAATAATGTCTCTGCCATTGTATTTTCCGCTTTATAAAATCCTAGAAAAATTTCTGATGATTTCAAATCGTCAGAAGCTATTCTGAAACATACGGAAACCTGTTCTGATCGAGATATATCTGCAGTTTCGTCGATTAATATTGAAAAGTGTCGAGCAGCTTTAATTTCTTGAAGCAATTGTCTGACCACTGTATCAGCCATCATAGTAAGAATTTCATCCACAATTTGATGTGATGTGAAAGTGTAACTGCTTCGATTTAACCACCTTTTTAATTCAGGCACGTCTTCTGCGCGCATGTTCAAGAGTTGCTTGAAATGTGAATTTTCGTCGTTTTCATTCCCCCGCAATGCCAAGCCTTGACGAGCCAGTACTAAAATAGTTGAGAAAATTTTCTCTAATGCTATCCGATTATCTCTCATTTCAATCAATTTTGCACTGGATAAATGCTCGACAACATTTTTCTTCTTTGTCAGTTCTAGTAATAGGCTTGCTTGTCGATGGAATTCACCGCTCTCGTGACTTTTTAATCTTGAAGGGTTTTTGCAACTATCGAATCCTTTTTCTACAAAAGCTTCTTTAGAAGACTGGCAGTTTGTTGTATTTGGCAACGGCATTCTTTTCTCAACTGCTCCTGTGCATACTTTGCATACAACCTTGTTTATAGAATTCAGTTTAATCCATGGGTAAATAACTTGAAAACGAGAAAACGCTGGTGGTAGCTTGTCGTTCTAAAAGAAAAGTAAGTACGCATTACACACGAAATTAAATACATTTTTTTCGCTCTTTTAGCATTATATTTTCTATTTTAAGGATGATTCTTTTGATAAGAACTATACAATTATTGTTTAAATCCTACAAGTAAAATAACACATAACATTTTGTATACAATTTTATTCTGTCATATACGTTTCCTTAATTTATGAATTCATTCTATTTATGTTTAGGTTTTAAGTTTATATATATTTATGATTTTGTTGGAAAGATTGATCGGAAGTATTGTCCAAATGATCAATTTTCAAAAGTGCTCGGTTTGAAAATGTAAAAGTATTTGTAGAGAATTTTGAAACGCATCTTTTTTCTCTGCAACAAAAATGTCCAAATTTTATAGTTTTTTAAATATGTT